AGAGACTGAGGTCTCTCCTACCTTTTCCTGACATTCCATACAGAGTACTTCCCCTATGACCCAGCTGAAGCAGCATAATGAAACTGATGATAGCATCAGTTTCACTCTTCTGCATCACTGGACAAGTATCTAGGATACAGTGGCATAAGTGTGATGCTATGGAGAGGTTAGAAGTAGAAGCAAGGAGGAAAGAGCTGGGGCAGGGCTAGATGAAAACTAAGGGCTTGTATGTATGTACTCCACCTCTCTGAGGGGAGTAGCGTGCAGCCCTGCAGGCACTGATTACACTGGCGCTTTACAGTGTTTTTTCACACCCCTGAACGCAGCAAGTTGCAGCGCTGTACAGCGCCAGTGTAGCCAAAGCCTCAGACTAGGAAAAGTGAGCTGCCCTTGGGAGTCAGAGTGCAGCCTGTTGTAATATTTACGTAAACTTGCTTGCAGGGCCTTGGCAGTACTCTGAAGTGGTCTACTTGGGCCCTGCAGGAAGAAAACTTCTTCATATTGCACTGTAGTAACCTTTTAGGGCTTCTGATTCTGGAAGGAGACGCACCCAATCCTCAGCCACATGGTTTATTGGGAGGGAGAGCAACCTTGAAGGATCCCCAGGGCATGAGAAGGGAGGGGGCAAAAACATAAAATCCAGATGCAGAGGAAGAGACAAAACAGCTTAATTCTAGAGAGAGGTTATATTTGGGGGTTTTGGCTGCCCAACCAGTAGTTAGTAGCTGAAAAACCGTTTTTCAACCCTGAAGTTTTAGTTTTTCTCTTTCAGCGTTTAAGTATTCTGTCTCCAGTCCCTGACATACATCAGACTCCTATTTCTGGAATAAAACATTGCTGCCTTGAACATCTCAAAGTTGAATTATTGCTTTCAGTACATGTGATAGTGAAAATATACTTAGTAGGTTTACTTATTTTCTTTTCCAACAGCAAGGCACTTACTACACGCAGCCTTTATATGCAGCACCACCCCACGTAATCCATCACACCACAGTTGTGCAGCCTAATGGCATGCCAGCAACTATGTATCCTGCTCCAATTCCACCACCAAGAGGAAATGGTGTGACTATGGGAATGGTGGCTGGGACCACTATGGCAATGTCAGCAGGTAGATTGATTTATATTGCTTACACTTTTTGATGAAGTACAGTTTGGGTTTGTGGTCCATCTTTTACAGTATGGATGCATTACATGTTAAGGCCTTACCAGAAATGTACTGCAGTTATATGTTTCCCACAACCACTAGTTTTGTTTAATGTGAGATGTTTGTGTGCTTGTATATGAATTTTAAGCCATTCTAACTACAAAATCCTAGTTTTCTGGATCAGGCCAAGTAAGCAGCATAGAAACATTGAAACCAAGGAAATCTGACGTGGCCTTCTAATTGCAGTGCTGCCCAAGAAATCATCAAGAGGGGCTTTTGTTCCTCTAGTCGCTTGGGGTTTGGGAATTAAAGGGTACAATTCTCTTTCCCAGGCTGAGTGCTAAGTGAACTCTCCATTTTAGTTAATCAGATAGAGAATCATTGCTCAGAACTGCCAAGAACTCCCAAGCTGCACTTTCAGAGGGAAGGCTTTTGGGCCTGGACATAATGCAAGTACAACTGTGGTCAGCACAGTTGACTGTCAGTTACTGGTGTCCGTGTTCTAACGTGTGTTTTTAGTGTTATCAGAACAACATAGTTTTATGACTAAGACCTAGGTCGTAATATTGTGCCCCAGCACAGTTACAGAACACGCAGTCCTGTCCGCATTAGCTCTAAGCTATGTTAGAACTTGAGCGACTTTGTCAATCTGAAGAAATTGGTGTCTTTGATTAAATGTCTCAGAAACAAGTCTGTTTCTAGTACAGAATTAATATACACTTGGGATGCTTCTCCCCAGAATTTTGAGTGATGCTGTTTTTTAAGCACCAACAGTGTGAGAAATCTGTTTTTCCCCGCACCACTGCTGCTCTTCGATACCTTAAAAGTTTTCAGATTGGCTAACTAATGATTGTGTTACATGATAGTGTTCTGGATTACTGAACTACAGATTTCAGCTTTCTAACCTCAGGTATCCCACAACCCTGGTGGGGATATTTTTTCAGGACCAGCACTGTGTGCTCTCTTCATTACCTTTGTATTTTTCCCAGTTTCTTTGTTTGTGTGGGGTAAGCAGCAGCAACTAAACATTAGTAATTTGTACGTGAAGTGCTGTAGAAGGAAATTGTTAGGATTCTGGGGTCCCAGTCTGTTGCCTTCTACAGTCCCTTTGACTATAAAACCCATTTGCACAGACAGGAACTAAATGATACTTACCCTAGTCAATTTTCTTTTGCATCAGGTGTTCCTACAGCACACAGAGCCTGCTGTGAGGAAAAGTATTTTTCAGTGTATAATGTGTGCTTGTGGTCTGGAGCTGCTGCTAAGTAGTTATTCACTACTTAAAAAAATATCTAAAAATGCATTGGACAGAATATCAAAGTGCTCTTGTTGCATAAGCATTTGAAGGAAGGTAGATGGAATTGAAAATGTTAAGATACAGATTCACAGAAGTTTCATATTGGTATATGACAAAAGATGTACAAGTTCTGATTAATATGATTTTGGTTTTCAAAATGACTGTAATAGTGTTGAAAGGCATATTTGTGAAAAATATTTAATATAAAAATGTTTTGTTTTTCTCCTAGGTACTTTGTTGACAACTCATTCCCCAACTCCAGTAGCCCCTCATCCAGTTACTATGCCCACATATCGGGCTCCAGGAACACCAACCTATAGCTATGTGCCCCCACAGTGGTGATTATTCTGGCAGTGTAAGTTACCAGTGCCTACAGTTGAAACAGTGGCCTGTATATAAATGACTACATGACTGCAACTTCTTTCATGGAGATTTCACAGGCATTAAGATATTTGGGGGAATTTTACAATATGCCAATTCAGTGAATAGGGATATAAGTAGACTATTTTGCCTAAATGTCAGTTCGTTTTGATTAAGTTGTGTAGGAGGAAGGATGTTTTTTAAACACGTGTCTGTCTTCTGATGAGACTTTCTTTTTCTGCATATTCATCTAATTGATGCCTGCATATAGAATTCCAAATGATCTATTTCTCAAAATACAGCATTTTAATTTGCGCAGCTGTAGAAATGTTAGGTTTGCTGAATCCAAGACCCTGTGGGGTCTATATGGAAACAGGCTAGTTTGCTCAGTGATTTGAGTTTTGTGACAATTCCTGAATCCAACAACACTGATCCATGAGTGAAAAAATATGTAAAACATGGATGTTGGATCAGCTTAAATAAGGGGGCTATTTGGATCAGTATAAATAAAGGGGCACTTCATATTTCCTTATGGATGAACATTTCCCAGAAAGAGAGGCCATTTACTAGTAAGCATAAGAATCTGATCATTCCTATCACCCAAATTCAGGTGGGTTTAAATTTAAATTTTAACTGTTTATAGTCTTCATGGAAAAATCATTAGTCTGTAGCACAATTTAAGCTACACGTGGAGAGAAAAAGACTTGTGAAATCTGCTCTAGATTTCTACTGATAAAAAAATTGTTAATTTATGAAGCCAGCATATTTTATATATATATATATATATTTTTTTTAGTTTCAAAGGGGAGTGCTGCTTAAAATTGACATGGCTTATTGTTCTTACTCTTTTGGGGGCCTGATTCTGCTTGCGTTTCACCAGTGCAAATCAGGAGTAACTCCTCTAGTGTAAATTTTATGTTTATAAAACCAGTGTGAGAGCAGAATCAGGCTGGCTCCCTTCATTTATTGCTCTGTTAAATGTTTATAACAAGTTAAGACAAAATCTAACTGTCCCCTATTTTCCATGCCCATTTCTATGATTGGAAGTCAGGAGCTCACTGATATGTTCTGGTTCTGCCACGGGCTCATTGTGTGCCCTTTGAACAAGGCGCTTAACATCTGTTCCTCGTTTGTCAGATCTGTAAAAAGAAGCTACCGCTACCACTAACCTCTCAGTGGTATTGGCTTAAATATCTGAAGTGGTTTGCACTTACAGCACCTTTCAACTAAGAATATGCTATATGTGTACTTAGTGACAACGTGCCATGAGCACAAGGGCAGAATTGTTAAGGATAAGTTGCATATAACAATGTACACATTGTCCACCTATAACCTTTCAATATGCAGTTAGTGCAGTGGGACTGATTCTGTAACCCTTGCTTACATAAAGTTTCCAATGACATCAGTGGAAACCTTGCTGGAGTAAGCTATAGGATTGGGACCATTATAATAAACTTTCATCTAGCATGTTTCATCTGCAAATCTTATTTTATGCTTTCCTTTGTACTGTTCTTCTGAGGCAAAGAAGTAAAGTGACTTTGCTACGGTTCCACAATAGATTAGCTGAGCAGGGACTAGCACTTAGCTCTGCTGATCTATATATGTGGCTTTTTGCATGATAAGTTGTGACTCCAGGCCAGCATTATGACCATGTCACCAATATAATTTCTGCAATATCGCAGTGGAATGATTGTTAAACTTCATCAGTGTAAGCTTATCTGAAGGGAGTGTCGTTTGTATGAAACACAATGTGTGCACAGGTCTATTTGTAAACATCTTATTACTTCATTCCAAATATATCAGTTTTAGTAACTACGATTTTCTTAAGGTAATTTCTTCAGTTGCTCAGTGCTTTAGTTGCTAAGTATTAAAGATTTTCTTCAAATGAGATGTGAAGGAAAAGTATTATGCTTTGACTTAAAACACTTCAGTGGTGGTATTAAAAACTGCCTGCATTTGGAGCAGTTAGCCATTTTTATTTGGATTTTGGCAAATCTGGAATGTCTGTTCCCTTTTGCTTGTGAAGTCCGTGGAATGTCACTGAGGGGTTTGCTTCTGAAAACCTAATCCTTTTTTGTAGCAAAATCTGTGCCAGCAATCATGTTATAAATAGCATTTGGGGTATGAAATTTGTAGGAAAATCTCTTCACTGCCAAAGCTACTTAAATATAACACCTCAGTGGATGTTGGATGTGTGAGGAAAACAAAGGGTCTTGTGTTCAGGATTGTTGCAGTGAAGTACGAAGTACTTGAGTGTGCTACAAATTCCTCAGTGGGAAAATTCAAAAGCTAACAAATATTTTTTAAATCAAATACTTTGTCAGTGACCTTTTAAAAAAAGTCTAGTCAACGTAAGATATTCTAGTAATAAAAGCTGCTGTCCCCCAATTCACCCCAGTTGGTGACTTAAGGGGCTGTGAGTGGATGGTGGGTTTACAGCATAACTGCTATAAAGTAGTATTAGGTTATAGTTTATGCCTTTAAAAAAATCAATCTATTTTAAATGCATAACAGTGTAGAGTTTGCAGCATTAAACTAGATTCTGGGATATTAACTATGTTTTACTTTAACCAAGTATGAGTATCTATCTTGCCTCTTTCTCTCTGAATGTAGGTTTGAAGATGGGAGATATGCAATCAAGTAATTGAGGTTTAAAAGTTGGTGCTGAAGCCCTCATGCCTCCAACCAGGACTTTCTTTCTTCTGAATGCTTTCAACACTTTGCTAAACACTACTAATTCCAGATCACTGAAGATTTTTCCAGTGCTGCATATCTTACATCTTGGAACTCCAGCAGTTAGTCTTAAAGCAAATCCTGTTTTGTGGACTGTCTTGCAATTTTTTAGCTAATTATAATGATAAAAAAGGGAGTATAAACTTATTCTGATCCATATCTAGTTGAATGCATAGTTAAAAAAAAAAAAAGCAACAAAAAAAACAAAGCTTGCTCATGCAGTGACTGATGCAAAAACCATATGCAAAATCCAAAGGAACCGAAAAGTATTTTACAACTTGTATCGCTAATGCACTGTTGTAACATATGCAGGGTCTTAAAAGGTAGAATCGTGAAAGTGAATTTCTTTATAGAATACCATAATATACATCAGATAACTGCTTCAGCCTTTTTGGGTTGATGGAGTTGCCAGTTAAAAGGGGGAAAAAATATTTAAGTGATGTATTCCTTTCTAATTAAATTCAGCTAACGCAAATTGGAGTGACTGGAAATCGAGTCTGATGAGCTGTAGAAATCCTGCACAGAATTAGTTTACCACATTTAACCTTTCATTTCTATTATATGGATGCAGTGTTACGTGGACATTCTTAAGGATCAGAATGGAATGGTGAATGAAGTTTTGTGTGGCCAGTTAATGAAAAATGTGAGTAAAGCAGCCTTCCAAGCTGCCCATATCCTTAAGGCAAATCTGCGCCATTAGATGGGGTGGTAACACCATATATGTATATATAAAATGAATTCTGGCTCCTGAAAAAAATACATGGTGATAGAATCAAATTTTCTTTGGCTTCAGTCCAGGAAATCCATTCTGTTTTTTCCTAAAGAATGTTCTAATCAGCTGAAAATGTATGTGCAGTTGACGCAGCTTGCTTTTCTAATACTTAAGAAATGCTAGGGTTTTCTGCAACCAACAGGAGGAGTTCAACTACATGTTATCCTGAAGAAAGTTTGTGTGCTTGTTAAGTGTATTAAAGGGGAACAAACCATTTTAACACAATTTCCTTTTAGCTTATATTACATGCAATGTGGTTTATAGGTGCAGTATAGCAGGACTGTTGGAATGTAGAGATTTCAGAAAGTTTTTCCTTTAAAAAAAAAGTAATTGATCATAGTAGGAGTCATTCATTGGTTACAAAATTGTTGATGTAATTGTTGGGTTTTCCTTCTTTTACCTCTTAAATTGCACTTGGAAAGCATGCAAATTAAGACTGACTGCAGATTAGTGTTTCATTGCAATGAGTCATTTCTGGTATTCTTGCTCGCAGCTTCAATTTTTAAAAAGTACCTCAAAGCAAATGCTGTGGGGATAAAGGGCTAGCCTTGGAACCCATTTGTATACCAAAATCATTATGGGAAAGATTTTAAATTTTTAAAGTTGATATTGCACAACAAAATCAAGGTTTTTCTGAAACCTGCCTGATTTATGATTCCAGTAAGATGCAATTTTTTTCCAGATACATCCTGCCTGCAATAAATTATGCGGTAAATGGTTATAAAATGTTGTTCCCTTTTAAGAGTTTACATAGAGGTATGTCAGGCTGTAGTGTTTGTAGTCTAATTTCCATCCAAAAATATTTTTTTTTAAAATTGTGTATCAACTTGGGTTTTGTGTTGAAGTGGTCTGCTCCTTCTACAGGTTTGGCAGCTACTTCAGGGTAGCATCAGTGCTGATTTAATGCTGCCATTCCCATACTCTACCCTGGTGGGAGGCGTATGCAACCTGAATGCCCATTAGAGGTTAGAGTCTTCAGTAACTATTTTTTACAATAAGCACTCTTTGTATTTTTTTACTTCCATGTTTTGTTTTATAAAGTTTAGGATTATTTTGCATGGATCACTGTAAACAGACTACCCCTTATTGCTAATGCCTTTAACATAACTATGGTGTTAACTAGAAGTACTTTAAAACTTACTCATGAGCACTTACTACAGCTTAAGGATTTCCATATATTTGTATATGGAGCAGAGAATTACCCCAAACAAACGATTTGAATCTGTACTGCTTTGTTCAAGTCTGTTTAACAATTCCATTTGTGTAGTAGGTTTGCAGCATTGACTGGTCAAGTGCTCCAGAGGCTGTAGTGAACATTAATGCAGTTTAGCTAGTTTAGAGTGAGAGTTTCATTGTCTTTGTATGTTTTTAATAAAAATACTTGTGAGGTGTGAAACAATGCTGTCTTGGGGGAGAAGCTATAGAGAACAAGTTTTAAGCTTTGCTGTCTCCAGTCTTGTTTCCCAGCGATAACAAAGCTTTGAAACCCTAGGAAAGAACTTTCATGAATGCTGTGTTAGATAAATAGTTATGGAAAGAATATAAAGTCCTATATATTTGCTCTGACTTCAGATTCCTAAATGTTTCCTTGGAATTGTTATTTCCTAATAGTACTGTTCCATAACATTTAGGGGGTCTCGCTTGAGCACTTTTTTCTAAGTTGCATTATGGGATTCATCCACAAAGGGGAAATGATACCTTTTTTCTTGCAAAAGGTATGGCACCTTCCAGATGTGATATAAACTAATGGGAGGTTTGAGTTGTTCTCCAGTAGTGTAAGGGAGTAACCAAAAGCACAGTGGTGGGGGAGGGGGTGGTGTGTATATAAACAATCTTAATGGCATTTTGTTGCAAATAGTGGAAAGCATGGATATGAAACTGTAATAAAAATCATACATTACACAGTGGGGTGGGGGGTCTTATGAAACATTCTCTCCTGATTTTTCTATTACATTCCCTATTTAAAATCCTGTATAGCTTTACACACATAGACACAGTACGTGGCTGCATTGGAGCTTTCAAGAAAATGAAAGGGCTCTACTGCAGTAGAAACCAGTTCAAATCAAGCTTCTCTGAAACTTTTATGGCAGCTTCATAGAATAGAATAAAAATACTACTACTTTAAACCTGTAATTGAAGACAGCTATTACAGCAATAATATAAGAGAAGTCTAACGTAAATTTTGGATCTAACTTCAAGTGTTGCATTTAAACAAAGTATTGTTAAGGCTGAGGAGTTTCCCGTGTTGGTAACATCTGATTGTGTCTCTTAAATATAGCAATGAAATCAAGTCATTCTTGAAAATGGCTAAATAACTGGCATCAGAAGCTGGTAGCCCTAATCTGTAGTGTGGTCATTAACCAACGAATAGGAAGGAAATAGAACTACTTCATTATTTTAAATCTTGTTTATAAACTTATTTTAACCAACCATTTCCTGTTGAAGTTTTAGAAGACGTACAGAATTGTTTTTTGAGTGTACTATGCAAGTTAAGGGCTTAGATGCAGCGATAGATGACAAAAGTTCATAATTTGGGATTCAGTTGAAGTCCTTCCTCCTGCCACCTCACCCACTGAAAAGCCCCGTAAGTACAACCATGTCTTAGTGTTTTCTGACTTACAGTTCATGGTACAGATATGTATAACAGGGTACTCCACATTGATTAGTCTTTACAGAGCAATCTAGCTTAATGTCTACAGAGAGAATAGGCCACTTACCGTATCGGAGCCAAAAAAATGTTCAGAATTTTGACTCCAAATAGCTCCCCCAGTGCTTGGACACAGTATTGGATACCATTAGTTTTGGCCTTAAACATGTTAATTTTGCCAGAATGGAGAAATGCAGCAATCTTTTGACACAATCATTAACTGTAGGTTTAAGACCATATAAGAGAATAGAAAATACCTTTTATGTGAAACCCACACTTATAGGCACAGAAACAGTGATGTGATATTTCAGTTAAACTTCTGGGAAGAGAGGACAGATTTCCTGATTGTTATTTGCATAACTTGAAACTAACCAGAGAAAGAAGCTTGGGCTGGTGTCTTTACACACATTTTATGCCTACGCTTCTCCAGCAGGTGTCACTATAGGATAATTTACTATTTCTGGAGGTTTGAAACAATCCATTAATCCCCAGTTTAAAATGCATTCTGTTAATGGAAAACCTGTTAAAAAACATAAGGAAGAATTAAACTTGTCCATGTATTTCTAATTAAGGAAGCATTAAGCAGATAAGTTTTACCCACTGTAAGCCTCTGTACACACAGTTGTGAATGTTAATAAGGAAAAAGTGCAGTGAGGTAGGATCATTTTTCACTAACATGCCTCATTCAGAATGTTCAGGCCTGTTCAAAGATTTCCTCTTCTAAGCTAGTGAGGACTTCCCAGCAGGTGCTGTTTACCCTGTGAGTGTGTAGGGAGGAGATGAGATGAGGCCACTAGTGTTGAGGGGAGGAGGGGGCTGGCATGGAGGAGGAACAATGCTTAATTGGGGTGTGGGGGGGAGAAATCTCTTCCCTTGTCTCTTGAATGTGACATTTGGAATTATCGGACTACCACAGTGTTGAGTCCACTTGTAATATCAAATATTCTGAACAATTTATAGCCTGAAGCTCCAACATCAAAAAAGTGAACGTCACTTTCCCAGGCCTGTTGTGACTTTTGGGACTTAACAGGCAAACTGGGAAAGCTTCTTTAGCTGGCTGCTGTACAGACTTGTTTCAAGTAGAACGGATTTGTTAATGATTTTTTTTATTGTAGTGCTATTATTGGCTGCCCTCATATCTACGATTTTGGGGACGGGGGAGTGCATGCAACAGAAGTACAAGAGGCCCCAGTAATAGTTCTCCATGTTTGTTACAAAATAGGCACAGGTTTCCTTTTTTATGACTTTTTTTAAAACTGTCTTACAAGCAGTTATATTGGTACTTTTTTAAGTTTAGGTAAATGTTGTCTTCCAGAATAAGTTTTAAAGCATCACTCACTTCTGCATTGAACTATTGCATCAACACACAAAGGAGTGGAGATTCCATTCTGAGCCAGTTCAATTATGTGTAAATTCATACTTTTTTATTTTTATGCAATCCAACGAGTAGATGAGCTCAGATTTAAATTCTTAAAAGCACGTTTATTGTAACAAGAATTGTTATGTATTCAGTTTTCAATAAAGATTGACTTGTGTTGCTTATTATGGTCTCTTGCTATTCTGTTTTTAATAACGCTGGTCACATTTTTATTATTTAATTGCTGACTGGCAGCATAACAAATGTAACATGTTAGAATAACTTCCTTATCAATTTGCTGGTTACTGTACTTAACTGATTAGCTGAACTATTTTCTTCCCTTCCATCAGTTAGCTACACTTATACAAATAAACTCTCTTGTGGTGCCTTAAATTAATAGAATCCCTGCTAGAATTCTAGCTCTCCAGTTGGGTCCAGAGTA